CATTGTTGCCGTCACTTCTTGACCGTCTTATATACAAGAATACCGCATATCTAGTAAACATTCGAGGCTTATGGAAAGGACATGAATGTTCTAGAAGCTCATGACGTGTTACCAGTGTCACGTGACTTCCGCTCTTGTAACAATACTCTTGTTAGTTTACTCTTTATGTTATACCTGTATAAAGTATGTACTTTACCTTTAGAAACTGTCACATGTCTATCCATCAATATGTAGCACTATCTGCTGGGTTGAATTGGGTTTAAAAGATATTTAAGTACGTGCATGATATTTTTACCATTTATAAAAAAATTATACAGACCAGTCAAGTAAGCTGGAGAAATCTTGTAGGGAAAGTCCGAGCCTTCTAGGGGATAGCCCCGCTGACGTGATCAGGTAGGTAGTAGACGAAAAAAAAGTTGCTGTTTTAGAAACTTTTTAATTGTTATACAGGAAATGTTAGAGACCTTTTTAGAATATCATTGGTATATGTGTGCATAATATTTTGTACCCAATACTTTGAATGGTCGGTTTTCCACTTCAGAATTCAATAAGGTGGTTTTTCGGCATGTGAATTATTTGTAAACCTTGTCAATCCCTACTATTAAATACTACTGTACTTAATAATTATGTGATATTGTATAAGTAGGCACAGATCTAGAGGGTCCATTTTTTTTTTTCAGAAGTTAACAATAAAACAGCCAAATTACTATGCACTATGAAAAAGAAATATCAGTTGTTATTGTTTTTATTTGATAGGTCTATTAATATCTGTAAAACATTTTTTTTTGTTTTATGAAGTCAACACAGATGAAGTCTACAGCAATTCAGTTACAACCTAAGCCAATAACTGACTTGTAAGTGAACACAACAATATGAACATCAATTAAGTGTTGATTTGGTAACTTTTCATGCCATAGCTTTATCAATACACTCAAACAATCTGTATGTGTGTGCTTTAAACTTCAGAAATATTTTCAAAGTTAGTATTACTTAGGACTCGTGCAGCTCTAATAACAGTTGTTACAGAAATGACTTTTGATTGTTTGGAAGTTAGAATACTCATGTAAAAGGTTTTTTGTATTGTTGAAGACCCCAAAAAAAAGCAAAAATGAAAAATGTGACTGTATAAGTGATAACATAAAAAAAATAATAAACTGGCATCCTTTTTTCTGCAAACACTAAAATATGAATTTAGGTATAAATTTTATCATTTTTTTCTAAATATAACAATTTAATTTCGATTACAAAAATGTTTGTCTTTAATTGTTTTTATTTTCATATCAATCACATCATTATCATTAGATATAAACTCTAAACTTGCTGGATTATATCCCAATGACCCACGATGACTTTTGTAATGTATGATACATTTTTATGTACAAAATATTATACTACAATATACTAAAGGAAATAAACAAATATTTGTGTTAAATTACATCTATTTGAACACTGCAGAAATTTTCTTCAATAAAACATTAGATAATTTGTAATAAAGTAAGATTATACAATTTGGAGATGGGTTGAATGGGGAACAAAGAAAACTTTATAACAAGTTTAACACAGCAATAAATGTATAATATTTGTCATTACTGAATACAAGTAGTTTACCTAGACACAGGTTTTTTGTGTCAAATTACTATTATTTTGTTGTGTTGCACTGTCTGTAAGCTTGAGATGTTAATTAGGTTCACCAAATAAAATAAAATCATCATCATATCAGGTAATTTTACTGTTTACCGAGTATGGATGGTAAGTGATTGCAAATATTCTGATGACCCAAATCTTTATTCAATATTGTTTAAATGTTTATCCTATTCAAACAATGTACATAAATAAACTGACTAACTGGTTACTTAATTATTTCTATGTTTTAATTTTTATTGATATGTTTTTAATAAAAGCAGTATTACTTCATCATATTTTCATTATTCAATTTACAGTAGATCAATGTAGGATTACTGAATATTTGAAAAACAAACAATAATGGCAACCATATGGTGATATTTAGTCAACATTAGCAATTCATCCACCAGAGTACCTTTTTTTAAAGAAAAAACTGTGTTTTTGCAACATGTGCAAATGTTGGCATTAAGAAGAAATATTTTATAAAAAATTAAGGATAATTAAAAATTACATTTAAAAAAAAACACACAATGTAAACGACAATAGGATAATTAATACACAATGTAAATGACAAACGGATAATTAATACACAGTGTAAACGACAATAGGATAATTAATACACAATGTAAATGACAAACGGATAATTAATACACAATGTAAATGACAATAGGATAATTAATACACAATGTAAATGACAATAGGATAATTAATACACAATGTAAACGACAACAGGATAATTAATACACAATGTAAACGACAATAGGATAATTAATACACAATGTAAACGACAATAGGATAATTAATACACAATGTAAACGACAATAGGATAATTAATACACAATGTAAACGACAATAGGATAATTAATACACAATGTAAACGACAATAGGATAATTAATACACAATGTAAATGACAATAGGATAATTAATACCATGTTAGAATAATGTAGTGGTTGAAAAAGTCATGAAGATCGTATGCACCCATTTCTTTTTTTTTTGCTTATACAGGTTGTAGGGGGTATGCACTAATTGATTAAGCTATTTCCATGCAGTTAATATATGTACACACCACTTTAATCCACATTAAAGGTTAACTTCAATGTTAATGATTTAGTTAGTTGAACTTAAAATCGTGACTTACATAACTACTTAATACTGATAATCTTTGGATTCTTCAGTATGCAAATTAAGTCTTGACACTAATTTTCAAGCAAAAACCAAACTGATTTTGAATAAAAATAAAGAATACTTACTTTTGACTTTAAAGTTTGTAAGACGTCCAAATAAGCTGCCAAGTAAGGAAATGGAAGGTTTTCAACTAATGTCTGATAAAGCCACAAGAGAAGCTTGTGATCCTGAAATTTTAAATAAATAAATAATTATTTTTATTCCATTATTTAGAAGGTTTAATATCAATATTGTTATCTTTTCTCTTTGCTAAAGAAATTTCAACAGTAATTTCTTCCATCCCAGAAGCGTACAAAATACATTTCACATGATTACACTAATGATAATAATATAGAAACACAATTCATGCAAAACAATCAAACAATATAACATCTAAATTAACAAGTACTGTTAAAGCCATAAAGAGATTAATTAAACTTTCGAAGAAGATAGTTTGTTCAGACCAAATTTACTGTATCATCTAAAAGAAACAAAACAATATGTTTGTTATAGCTCTTATAAATCATAACTGTTCTGTTAGTTATGTTGATTTCAGGCTTTACTGCTAAAAACATTAAATTCACAGTTCAAAATTATGAATAATACAATAATGTTACGTCTCTGGTCGTTCGTTAATTTTCCGTAAAAATTCTTTCCGAAAAAATTTTACCGATACAAGTCATTTCTTAAATAAAATTGGTTTAATCTTTCTGAATACAACTTTGCAATACACTTAATTTCCACAGTCGTGCTATAACAAACGCTATAATTCACAACGAACGTCTCACGTGCTCAACAATGCGTCTCTCTCTGTCCGCAGTTCAATTACACATTGTTGCCATCACGTCTTGACCATCTTATATGTACAAAAATACCGAAAACTAGTAACCTCCTGACGCTTCATGAACGTTCTAGAAGCGCGTGATGTGTTACTAGCATCACGTGACCCCCGCTGTCGTAACAATACTAATACAAATGTTGAAAAATGAAAAACTACTAGGTAGGTGTTTCCAAAAATGTGTGCAAACTTTCACTATCCCTCAAAGAACAGTTACAGGCAGTAGTAGTGTTTATAAATTATTTAGATAGTGTACAGTTAAACCTCAAACAGTGGAAAGGGATTTGTCTGTTTTGAATACTTGCGCAAAACTACACAAGGTCTATCTATATTAGCCATTCCTAATTATGAACTGACAATTTAGAGCACTGATTCTCAAACTTTTTTGAAAATGTTATTTAATCAAACAATAAACAGTGCTACTGCTTCCTTTCCAAGCACCAGATAGGCCTACGTTCATTCATCAATGAAACAAGTTTTATTACTGGTTTACTAATAGGCCTATGAAATAAGTTTTATTGGTTTACTAATAGGCCTATGTTCATTCATTAATGAAACAAATTTTGTTATTGATTTACTAATAGGCCTATGTTCATTCATTAATGAAACAAGTTTTATTATTGGTTTACTAATAGGCCTATGTTCATTCATCAATGAAACAAGTTTTATTACTGGTTTACTAATAGGCCTATGTTCATTCATTAGTGAAACAAGTTTTATTACTGGTTTACTAATAGGCCTATGTTCATTCATTAATGAAACAAATTTTGTTATTGGTTTACTAATAGCCTATGTTCATTCATTAATGAAACAAGTTTTACTATTGGTTCACTAACAGACCTATGTTCATTCATTAATGAAACAAGTTTTATTATTGGTATACTAATGGGCTTGTGTTCATTTATTAATGAAACTAGTTTCATTATTGGTTTACTAATAGGCTTATGTTCATTTATTAATGAAACTAGTTTTATTATTGATTTATTAATAGGCCTATGTTCATTCATTAATGACAAGTTTTATTATTGGTTTATTGATAAGCCTATGCTCATTCATCAATGACAAATTTTATTATTGGCTTACTCATAGGCCTATGTTCATTCATTAATGAAACATGTTTTATTATTGGTTTACTAATAGGCTTATTTTCATTCATTAATGAAACAAGTTTTATTATTGGTTTACTAATAGGTCTATGTTCATTCATTAATGAGACAAGTTTTATTATTGGTTTACTAGCCATAACAATTTTTGAAAACTTCAGTTGTCACACTCCTTATGAACTGCACAATATTTCACTGATAAATCTTTCAGGACCCATTCTTTTTACATTGAATTTACAATCCACTCCTGACTGAAATGGCATTTACTCATTTTTGCATTGATTTGGTGAGTGTTTTGTCACTTGAGTTTGCCCCAAAGCATGTAACTTCTCCCTTACCAAAAATATCACTGCTTATGAACTTAAATGCACTTCTCACTACAACTGATTACAGGTAGTATATAAAATGCAAGTTAAAAATATCCAGTATCATGGGTTTCACTCATACTTCCTCTATATATACAATTATGGTTAAACATTTATAATTATAATTTTAGCACAGTTAGTGTAAAACCCTACAAATCAATAGAGTATTTTTTGATATAAAGAATAAAGATTTAAGCAACTTTAATTTACCGAACTTTGCTTCTTAACACAAAATACACATGTTTCTAAGGTTCAGTACAGCGCAATGATGCATCAGTTAAAGATTAATGTACATGTTTTTATGGTACAGTACAATGATGCATCAGCTAAACATTAATGTACATGTTTGTATGGTACAATACAATGATGCATCAGCTAAAGATTAATGTACATGTTTGTATGGTACAATACAATGATGCATCAGCTAAAGATTAATGTACATGTTTGTATGGTACAGTACAATGATGCATCAGCTAAAGATTAATGTACATGTTTGTATGGTATGGTATAGTGCAATGATGCATCAGCTAAAGATTAATATACATGTTTGTATGGTACAATACAATGATGCATCAGCTAAAGATTAATGTACATGTTTGTATGGTATGGTCCAAATATGGTCCAACACAATATCAGTATTGGTACACTTCTAATTTTACAATAACCAATATTAACAAAATGGTCCAAGACAATATCAGTATTGGTACACCTTTAATTTTACAATAACCAATATTAACAATATGGTCCAACACAATATCAGTATTGGTACACCTTTAATTTTACAATAACCAATATTAACAATATGGTCCAACACAATACCAGTATTAATACACCTCTAATTTTACAATAACCAATATTAACAAAATGGTCCAACACAATACCAGTATTAATACCCTTCTAATTTTACAATAACCAATATTAACAATATGGTCCAACACAATATCAGTATTGGTACACCTTTAATTTTACAATAACCAATATTAACAATATGGTCCAACACAATATCAGTATTAGTACACCTTTAATTTTACAATAACCAATATTAACAATATGGTCCAACACAATATCAGTATTGGTACACTTCTAATTTTCAACTAAATAAAAATTGATTCTTCTGCAGTATTTCCATGAGAAGAAAATGTATTGAAATGCAATACATACTACACCCTAGATCAGTGTTCTTAATCTTTTTGAGACCAACTCGCTACCAAACTAAACCGTCACAGACCGTTTAAATGTAAGTTTGACAAAAGTTTTACATTTTACATATGAATATTCTATCAGTTTTTGTTTGTTTTCCCATGGACTGGTAGTTGAGAAACACGGCCATAGCAGTGTGTGTTATATGGTATTGTTCGACAACAGATTAAAGTATTTGCCTTTGGCCTCACTTTACTCTCAACTTTCAATGATATAGAAAGTATATGATTACTTAAAACATAAGATCAAAAGTTCTTTAAGCAAGATTTTAGTTTTCAAAGTAATATTCTAAAACATTAACATTTTTTCAGGTATGTACAAATCCTGAGCATACACAGAGTTTATGTAGTATGACGTATACAACGGCCATCGGAGGTCATCAATCACTATGCATGGACAGGCTGAGAATAAAAATGGCCAATGCATATTATACATCGCTCATTATAGTCTCAAATCTCTCTTATAACAATCTAAGAGACTATTTTAACTTAGCTTTCCGAGGTTTTCAGAAGCTATTAAGAACTTCAGTTTAGTCAAAAAACATCACTAAAGTAGAGAACCAGCGAGTAGCATAACAGACAAATGTTCTGTTGATTATTCTGATTCTGACGTCAGAAGGCCTAGCTCACCAATGTTTGAAGTTGTTGCAGTGACTTACACACCAAAATATTGTATTTTAACTTGAGGAATGCCAAAGCAGTATAGTGTTTCACTAAATTGAACTAATAATGTTCATCAAGACAACTCATCACGCCAGATTAAAACTGCTGCCTTCATCGCAACTGTCATTCATTATAAAATATTCATTGGTATCGTTTAGAATAAAAAAAAGTTGAAACAAGTAATAAAACAAATTGGAAAAAAAAGGATGATGTAGGGATAGCAATGTACAAAGTCAAGGTAGAGATGAATACACAAAACCATACAAATATCATGACATAAGTAGCCACTGAGTCAATGTTACAAGCTTATAGGAATTAGCCATTGTTTTTCGTGGAAAGATCTGGTTACTTATGTAGGGATGTTTGTATGGTTTTGTGTATTGTTTCTGTATACAAATTTTTCTTGGAAAGATCTTGTTATTTATGTGGGGATGTTTGTATGGTTTTGTGTATTGTTTCTGTATAAAAGTTTTTCTTGTAAAGATCTGGTTGCTCATGTAGGGATGTTTGTATGGTTTCATGTATTGTTTCTGTATAAAAGTTTTTCTTGGAAAGATTTGGTTACTTATGTGGGGATGTTTGTATGGTTTTGTGTATTGTTTCTGTACTTTTTGGCATTGCCATCCCAACATCATCCTTATTTTTTCAACATGTTTTTTATTACTTGTTTACTTTTTAAAACCTGCTCAGCACAAAGACAAAGTTAAACAATCCCCTAATGAAAAAATATTAACTCAGAAGTTAAACTGTAACAAATCTGCAACACAATATCATGTGGCTTGATCATACATGTTTTTCTCTCTTCATTATAATAAAACTTATAATAAAACATAAATTCAATTTATATTAATAAACAGTGATCTTTATAATTGAAGAAAATTTTAACCGTGTTATAACATAGGTATGAAATGTCCTAAGGTAAGTATTTCCTGTAAATCTCTAATCTACCCACTAAAACTTCTGTTTCTTAGTCACGTCCAATTATACAATAGCTTGCTTGCTTTCATTTCCCCCATCCTTTTCTCTGTCACCTAATCATTTAACAAAATACCTTTTAAACAACAAATTATATAATTTTAAAATGACTGCAATTCAATAATGATTACAGTTACAATTATTTAAAACATCTATTGCATCCTGATTTCAAAAGCAAAGATCAACTTGTATATAAAGTAGTTGAGAAAAGTTGTTGCATTTCTCAAGTGTTATAATTCTATATATTACATTGTACACACACTTAAATTATGTGCTTCTTAAAGATGAAGCTGAAAAAAACCCAAAACCCCTAAGTTCACCCATTAATAAATGTAACACATTGTTCTATTGTAGTGTCCATCACATTTGTTTATTGCCAAATACTATGACGGGCCTAAAACTTTGTATATTGTCTAGAGCCCTTGTAATGGCTAAGGCCGGAACTTATTGGTTTTACTATTATTAATGATGAATAATAACCAGAAAAAAACATACCCAAGAGAAGGATGAGAAAACATGCCGAATTCTTTGTGCTGTCTTGTCAACAGCAAGCCGTCTCATGACTGGTTCATTATTAGTGCCTTCGTAGGTAAGTCGAGCTAAACGGTCCGTGTTCAGTATTTTCACTATTTTATTGAACAATCTATTCTGAGATACTGACCATCCTTTCCTGTAATGGAAAGTGTTTATTGACTTCTGTTAGAGATGAAACAAAAAATATACAAGTCATACTTTTATATTCATCACTGACTCTGTTACAAGCTCATAAAATGTAAGTAACAGTATATTAACATTCAATCACTTAACCATTAACACCACAATATACACATAAAAGAGCAACTAGTCCTCTGATCAGTGAGAAACATTTTCCTGCCAGTGAAAATAAATGCAGATAACATCATTAGTTCCTGATTTATTAACTGTATAAAAAAACACACTAAAGTATTTACAAATATCTGCACATTCTTAAAAGTTTGCTCATACAAAATTTTTCAACAAAGGAAAAGAAACATAACAAAATCATGATATTTTGTTACTGCTTTGTATTGTAATGCCGAATTCCAAACTTATAATAAATCAATGAAAGTTCCCATAAATGTTATTTTTATAAACACAATTTTCATTCATATATATATTTTATGTTATAGTCACCAGTAATGGGGTTACAAAAACATAAGATATTTCTTTAATCATGCTAAGAACAAAAAAATCTACATTTGAATAAATAACAAAATATGTGATCCACTCTTAATTAGCACATTTCCTTTTGAATACAACACCCCAATCTTTGAAACACACAACTTGTTTTATAGCTACATTAACTTTTAACTCAAAAAATAATTTTTTTCAATTAATAAACAAATCCCTAAATCCCTATGGTATTGCCAGACATCACAGAATAAGGGAAACTTAGTACAGTAGAGAGACAAAAAAGTATTAATTTCTTTATTATTCTACTATATGGTGTTTTACAAACTCAGGTTGTTTCAAAATTTATAAATAAATCATCTTATAATTAATCTTGCCAAATATAAACATTTGTAACAGCTGTTTGACTAAAAATATCCAAACCTAACTTCTTCAGAATAAATTATACAATTACTTAAGATATGGTAAAACTGCTAATATTTCTTACTCAGTTAACAACTTAATCATTGCATATCAAACCAAAACACAAAATAAGAATCCTGGGCTTAAAAGTTTCTTGTCACAGTTTAGGTTAGGAATCCTGCCAAGTTCCATTATGATAAAAACAAAACCCAATAACTCGCATGTTTAAAGCACTGATCAAACAAGGGTTCAAAATCCTCCTTTTGAAAAAAATTCAGGTAAAACCTAGATACAAGAAGGCCAAGGTGCACATATCACAGAGTTTTCAAGACTTAATTAAAGTGCCTCACTATTAACCCATTAACTGCGGCAGGAGCAGCTGAGTTGCCATTTTCTGACTCACAGATAAAACTGAGTTGCCATCAATAACAATAAAACGGTAATTATCATCATTCGCATAGAGTTACAGTTATATATGTGCGACTGACGGAAATATCCGTCATCCGCAGTTAATGGGTTAATAGACATCAATAAATTTGGCATCAAAACAAAACCTATATATAAATACTAAATGAAAAAGGTACAAAACCAAAAAGTAAATACTGAAGGAAAAAGGTACAAGACCTATATAAATACTGAATAAAAAACGTACAAGACCTATATATAAATACTGAATGAAAAAGGTACAAAACCAAAAAGTAAATACTGAATGAAAAAGGTACAAGACGTATATATAAATACTGAATGAAAAAGGTACAAAACCAAAAAAGTAAATACTGAATAAAAAAGGTACAAGACGTATATATATATAAATACTGAATGAAAAAGGTACAAGACCTATATATAAATACTGAATGAAAAGGTACAAAACCAAAAAAGTAAATACTGAACGAAAAAGGTACAAGACGTATATATAAATACTGAATGAAAAAGGTACAAAACCAAAATGTAAATACTGAATAAAAAAGGTACAAGACGTATATATATAAATACTGAATGAAAAAGGTACAAAACCAAAATGTAAATACTGAATAAAAAAGGTACAACACCGATATAAATACTGAATGAAAAACGTATATAGGTCTTGTATAAATACTGAATGAAAAAGGCTATAAAACCAAAATGTAAATACTGAACAAAAAAGGTACAAGACCTATATATAAATACTGAATGAAAAAGGTACAAGACGTATATATATAAATACTGAATGAAAAAGGTACAAAACCAAAATGTAAATACTGAATGAAAAAGGTACAAAACCAAAATGTAAATACTGAATGAAAAAGGTACAAAACCAAAATGTAAATACTGAATGAAAAAGGTACAAGACCTATATATAAATACTGAATAAAAAAGGTACAAGACGTATATATATAAATACTGAATAAAAAAGTACAAGACCTATATATAAATACTGAATGAAAAAGCTATAAAACCAAAATGTAAATACTGAATGAAAAAGGTACAAGACGTATATATAAATACTGAATGAAAAATGTACAACACTGATATAAATACTGAATAAAAAAGGTACAAGATGTATATATAAATACTGAATGAAAAAGGTACAAAACCAAAATGTAAATACTGAATGAAAAATGTACAACACCGATATAAATACTGAATAAAAAAGGTACAAGACCTATATATAAATACTGAATGAAAAAGCTATAAAACTAAAATGTAAATACTGAATGAAAAAGGTACAAGACGTATATATATATAAATACTGAATGAAGAAGGTATAAAACCAAAATGTAAATACTGAATGAAAAAGGTACAACACCGATATAAATACTGAATAAAAAAGGTACAAGACGTATATATATAAATACTGAACAAAAAAGGTAGAACACCTATATATAAATACTGAATGAAAAAGGTACAAAACCAAAATGTAAATACTGAATAAAAAAGGTACAACACCTATATAAATACTGAATAAAAAAAGTACAACACCTATATAAATACTGAATAAAAAAAGGTACAACACCTATATAAATACTGAATAAAAAAGGTACAAGACCTATATGTAAATACTGAATTTCTTGCTTTTTTATACATATATTTTATTTATCATTATAGAAATAAATAAAATGTAAAAATTACTAACTTTTAAAATTAGATAAGAAAAATTAAATAAAAACGATACTCGATGGTACGATCATACTTCACTCATGCAGCAAGTTGTAATATGAACAAATCTTCTGTTAACTATGTTTATACAAAGCTTCTTGCTGTAATAATTCACTTTGGTGCTAATGACCTGGAGATCTGAACTATAGTATCTTTGGCTGTCAGAATAAATAAGAAGACATAAAGGGTACTTTAAGATTGATTGTGGTCAGTAAAATGGACTGAACCTGTTAGGGTGAGAATATAACATAAAAAATATAAAGTTTTGCTGAAAAAACTTTTTATATTCATTTATCAGGGTCTATATTTGAAAACTGTAAAATGACAAAGTATTTTTTAATCTCGACATGAAAAATCACTTTTCACTCAGACTAATCAGACTGCGACTCCTTAAATTTACAGGAAATGAAACTTGCCAAATTTTGTGAAGATACACATACATTAAAATTTATAGCATGTATAGTTTCATGGTGATTATACATTGGATACAATGTCAGCCAAAACGACCAAGCTCTAACCCAGAGAGTTAAACTGAACTTATAGAAGGGTTACAAATGTATTAAAAGTATGCAAGATATAGTCAATTGTTACGCTTTTGTGAGTGAAAACTAATGTAAAAAAAATTGCCATTTCCTTAAATATGATGATATTTGTTAGAATACTGAAATACACTATTTAATAACAAAAATATTTCTTCCAACATAAGTCAACTTTTGTGAAAAGGTTAACGTTCCTCTATTGGTATGTCATGAGAACTAACTTGTTTATATGATCTTCCCAGTCGTGTGGCACATCCTGCTTCCGCATCAGACGAACATGGCGTTCACACTCAGTCATTAGCCCTCGAACTTTATTACTGTCAATGGGCATGATAGGTTTTGATGGTACTGTTTCTATATCAACTTTCCCATTTTTCTCACTAACAAAAGTAAAAAGAAAATATAGTTAAAAATGTCCTGTACTTTCTTTGACTACTTGTAAAAAATAGTTATTAGAAAAAAGACTACTAAAGGAAAAAGCATTACAAAAAAGTTGTTTATGAAACTTAAAATAACCCTAAGCTTGTCAAAAATATATGACAGTAAACAGAGATGTAACTGATACAAAACACTAATAGGTCAAATAAACTCCATCATAAACATAAAAAAACATTAAACAAAAAAGGTGTACAACAAAACAAACTCTCTTCGGTTTTGATCATATGCCTTCTACATGATGACCAAGTATATACTCATTTATTTTTTACCATGCAAAGAGCTTTATGATGGAATTGAAGGGTTAAACTCTACTCACAACTGATCCACTGGGAAATTGGTCAAATACTGAAATTAAACAAATTCACATATGCACCAGTTCAAAGTTTTGATACCTTTTGACATTCCCTTTTGATAATAAATAGCCATTTGGTTCCAAAGGGAGAAATCCCAGTCATGTGAATAATGCACCAGATTTATATCAAAGAGACCTATCACATTTCAGCCAGTACCAAAACAGGAAAAAAGAAAGTCCTTCTAAAGACTTCCCTGCAGGTATCAGCAGTTATGTAGCCAAAATATTAGAGTTATTTTACATTGTACTCCTTAATTAATTAATAACTAACACCTAGTTATAAAACATTAGTTACTCATTAATAATTAGACTTAGGTGACTGTACAGGCTATTAACGATGATATCTAATCACCATAAACTTACTGGAACTAAGTTTATCCATACATACATAAAACATATATATATATATATTTATACAAGGTGACTATTAAGTCCTTTGGTCACTTTTCAGTGTCATAACTTAGTTATTGTAAAGAATATGCCAGCAGGGTTATACATTAAGTTTTTGAAGTCAACAACCCATTCTATAATAAGTAACTTGGTCAGGGCTAGTCATACAGCAACGTTTTTGTTGATCAAACAATATGTACATAACACATGAAAATTTGTTCTTGCGTGTGTACTTTAAAAAATTAACTTACAAATATTATGAAACCCAAAACAGTTATTGTTTCCATGAAAGTCATTAAAGAGAAAAGTTATAAATTTCAAATTACAAAATAAAACTCAACCATATAAATATTTAAGTTTTCCTATACCAAAAATGTATTTCCGATAGTACTTACCTCTCTCACACTTTAACTTTATCCCGACAAAAGGTTCTCTTCTCTGCCCATCTAAGCATTGGGATGAATTCTACCTCACTTGCTCCAGTCTTTATACCCCACTATATTGCCCCTAGTGATTTAAATCTTGAGACTCATTGCACTCATGTCAATGCACCCTCTATACCCAATCTGTATATAAGCTCCCCATTTTTCTTTCTTATTCACTTTTCAAGACTGGCAAGATTATTAGACTCGAACACCGGCTATCCTGGGGAAGAACGGCAGAATAGTATGAGAGGAAGTAAGTATTGTCAGAAATAGATTTTTGGTATAGGAAAATGTAAACTTCTGAAACACACCTCTGCTGACACTTTACATAGAATCCCACACTGACCAGATGGAGGGGCCAGTGAGGGCAAGATTCACATAGAAAGCATCCACATATAAAATGTGTGCAAACTGAGATACAGCACACTATCGGGGTCTGTACTCCTTTTGGTACAGGTATGTTCTTCACCCAGATTATGTGAAATCTAAAACGTGGGCAGTGAAGGTCAACTGGCTACAGAGTCAACATTTGTTCATTATCATGAGATTCATCAAGGCCCCAACCACACAGACAAGGTTCAAGCCTTGTTGTTGGAATTATTGGGCTGTGGACTCAAAGCTAGAACAAGGTGTAGTGGCTAAAGCATGGGAACCCCAATATGATTAAATTGTATAATAGAAATATCAAGGGAACCCAAACTGAAAGTTACAGAATGTAACTTGTATAATGCATGTCGAGCCACAGGAATTATTAAGAGAAAACAAACAACACCTTAGTGGACAAACCCTCACTCCAACTTGAAGAAGCACAAAATGCCTCAAACTGAACTCGGAATTACGGGCCCAGGCACCTAACCTGAAAGTTACATAATATCTCATGCGAGCCACCAGGCAAAGGAAGGCAAGCAACATCCAACAGGACAAGTCTTCCCCTGCCAACCTGAGGAATCTCAGAATGCAACAAACTAAACTCGAAAGTATGTAGCCAATTCACACTTCACTCAACCTAAAGAAACAGAGATCATCTAGCCTGGGATCACTAATCGAAATCCTAACTCCTCAACCTAGGAGGCAAGGCAACACCTCCTGTCCCCGGAATGGTTCACAGACATAATGCTCCGTGTGCAGAATTACAAGGAGTTGAGGACCCTCTTTCCTGGTCATGGAAAGTAAAGGAATGACCACGCTCACACAACTGGATAGTGTAGTGTCATCACTGAACTGGAATTACAAGGAGGCTCCCATGTAGGCTGGACCAGCTCCTCAACCAACATCTGGAAAAACCATCCGGTGTTAAGGGTAGGAGGGTAAACAGCTTCGTCTTCTTCTCTTTGAGTGGAATAAATAATACAAACATCACTCAGGAGGCCAGATATCTGTCCACCACTCCAGTGACTGGAAAATGAAAGTGGTAAGGACTCCATTACTCTACTAGAGGAGATGAGGGGAACTTGCATTGGGGAATCCTGAAGAACAATTCCCCCGGAGACAGTGCAATAGGTGAACCATGTTCCATAATTTGAAAAGTAAACCAACCCTGATTTGTTCAATCCAGGGGGTAGCAGGAATAGGCAAAGTCCCCTTATACTTTACTCATGATAGTCCATGAGTGGCAGTCCAGTACTGTATATTATATTTAATTTAGAACAATTGTTCAATACCGTGAAAGCAGTCTCATGGAGCACCTCACTTCAATAGAGCTCATTGCTACTTAGTTATTAGTCTACTGGTTTTAGTGCAGATTTGTAAAAGCATACTTGATCAGGAAACACTCAACATTAAGTAGGATCCAAATGTGAATGAAGAGAAGGTCTCTGAAAAGGAAAGAAATAAAGTTACTCACCTGTGTCACAACTGAGATGGGGCATGTAGAATAGCCACAGAGAGGTAGCTAAAACCCATCCAAGGAGAAGACAGTCTATGTTGTGTAAATAGTGTGATATCAAAGTGTTAGGTTTGGTCCACATACCAGCCTGTGCAATTTCCTTCAGCAGATGATGCAACGAGCTGCAAGGGACATCAATATGTGTTAAACTTGATAAGATGACTCGAAGAAGTCTTCACTCTTCCAGTGAAGGACCAGAGTAAGCTATTTGAACCAACTGATGAATCCAATTTATCAAAGTGACAGGGGATAAGTTGCGAGAAACTGAAATATCCTAATGGATAAAGAACCTGTTACATGATCCCCGAAATCCTTCAGTGCATACTACAAAACATCAAATAGCCCAAACAGAGCAGCAAAAAGACAAATAAGGATGACACACGAGATGTCAATCCCTGATGTCGTGTGGTGGACCGCATAAAAGCCAGTCGAGAAGTCGATTAACACTGACTGCTGATGAAAAAAGTCTGACTGAAGCTGATGTAAGAGAGATTACCAGAGAGGAAGGGGAAGAGGTTCACACTCCTGAAGATACTGGAGGAGTGGAAACCAAGACTGAACTGGCCAATATGGAGCCAACAGAAGAATTCAGCAGGACTTGGAGCAAATCAGTGCCAAAACTGTGGGGAGCTGATGAATTAGAGAAAACACATACAGATGAAAACCCGTCCAATCCTGGTCAAGAGCTTCTATTCCCAAAGCCAGAGGGTGAGGTATTGGAGACCAGAAGGATGGGAGCTGAGCAATGTGTGGTGAAAGCCTCGATCGGTGGTGTCCCAAGCATCAGTGCACAGATGTATCTATGGCCATGGAGATGATAGAGGGACACCTACAGTTGGGTTGTCCCTGTTCAACCACCAGCTGAGATCCAGCACACTAGAGTCCGGCAGTCTCACTGGATAATCCAGTGCATCTGGGCAAATGTTCCACTGGTCCCATAACAACCACTAAAGGGCCCTCTTATGGGCCCAACCTAAAGAATTGAGTGATTCCAAGGATGCCCACATCCCCAAAAAAGATAGAACTGTGTGTGTGTGTGCTGGTGGAGGAGACAACTGTATTTGAAAAGCTGCCTGTTCCATGGCCTGAAAGAGTAAAGGAGAAGGTTGGCTCCAGCTAAGTCTGGAATTGAAAAACACCCCTAAATGTATGAAGTATTGTGTGGGAGTAAGAATAGACTTATTTTTGATATAACACCCACCTCTCGCAGCTTCTGATACCAGAGGTGAAGTGTGTAGTTCTGTCAAATGGCATGAAGGGGTGAGAAGAAGCCAGTCATCCATGTAATGGTGAGTGTGAATACTGAGAGAATGAAGATGATGCAAAAAACTCTGACTACCTGGCAAAAAACGTAAATAGAGCAGATGCGAGGCCAAGTGGTAGAGCATGAAACTGATAAACCTGGTTGTCGTGCACAAAACGAAGATAATGCCTTGAAGACTTGGTGACCAGAAAATGAAGTTAGGCATCTGCGACACTGAATTTTGTTATCCATAGTCTGGGTAAAAAGAGCCACTGAAGGGAAAGAAGTTACTCCATTGTAAACCGAGAAGGCTAAAGGAAGCGATTGAGACAAGAAAGGCCAGTCATCAGTCATCAATCACCCATCTTTTTTCGGTATTACAAACAGCCAAGAATAAATATCCTATAGGGAGGAGATGATGAGCTCTAAAGCCTCTTTGTGCAAAAAATCCTGGATGGCTTGTGCTTGGTGGTTGAATGTAAGAGGGTCTTTGGGGAGTGGAAAGACAATTGGTATGAGAGACAGAGGAGGAGGGGAGATGGACTGAATGCCCAATCCTCTCCTGAGAAGTTGAATAACCCCACTGATATGTGTTGAATGTTTCCCACACAGTCACGAACCCTCAGAGACGAGACCCCACAGGTAGTCACCGATGCCAAAATTTGTGCTCCACCCTTCAGGAAGATCCCCACTGGTAAGGTCAAAGTTGCTCTTGTGTTCCAATGGATTGTGGCACCGAAGCAGGAAGTCTGAAAACGCGAATGGGAGATGCAGTAAACTGATCTGTAGAAGAACTTTGGGACAGTCTAGAAGCCAGTGTAGAAAAATGAAGAATGCAGATGGGCCACATCTACTTGAGATTTCATATATTCAGGAATTCCTACATAAAAAGACTGTCTGAGAAAAGTAGCTTTCCTTAGATCCCTAAGAGCCAACACAAGAAGGCAAACTCCCTCCAGTAAGGCATCTTCAAAAGATCTAAGCAATAAATCAACCAAAATACCAAGGAGAGAGCAGAAGCCTATAACCTGACCAAAGTGGAAGTCAATAAATGACAAAGATATTCCAAAATTTGAGCATGATACCTGTAATAGGCCTCAGAAAACAGATGCAAAGATAACAAACAATGGAAAACTGTTGTAAGTGATAGACAAATTCTGGAAAACTAAGATTGTGTAAGATGAACATTGGCATCTTGTTTAGAGCCCCAAATAGGAAGTAGATGGTCTAATCCAAATAAGGATTCACTTGGAAATGAAAAGCCAAGGCATGTTGATCCAATAAAGGAGGACAAGGCATGGAAGCATCCTCCCTCAATTGATCTGCAAATCTCCTTGTATGCACTGCAATGTCTGGAAAAGGTGGAAGGACCAGGTAATCAGATGAACTAGTTTCTCCCAATAGAGAAGGTGAAGATTCATAAGCCACAGGATAAATAATCGAAATATTACAAAAATGGCATATTAGTTATAAAAAGGGTGAAACAGGCAGGATGTCCATCCGTGGTTCATGGATAGCTGTCTGAGCAAAGGTAGGTGTTGGGAAAATAGAGTTTAAATTTGCAGGAGCCCACCTTTGATCTCCCACAAACTCAGTCTCAGAGTCAACAGGAGAAAAACTTCAGACTGCATGTAAGACTCTACCACTCTGTGTGTAATGAACTGTATGTCCTTCAATGCCCGGGCAATATTAAAATTGTAAGGTGGCCAACATGAAACGAAATAGTTGATAAAATTCCATATGCAACAGCAGAAGTGGCAGCACTAAAGCAACAAGGAACAAAATAGTTGCAAAAATTGTGCATGCAAAAGAAGTGCCAGCACTCCATCGACATGGAACATGCAGCACACATCAAGTGGCTAAACAAAGAGACATAAAGGGCTTTAAGTAACACTCAAAGAGTATCCATACAAAGTAAGAGCTCACAGAAGTTGATTTTTCTGTGAAGAGAATTTTGTATTGGCATTTATCACAATTAGACCATGTATCTATGTGAACATAACAAATGATGAAATCATTTTTCAGCTAATTCAGCTTTTTCTCTAATTTCACAAGCAAATTAAAAAATAACAATCTATTGTCCATTATACTAGTTATCTTATGTAATCTACTAAAGGAAAACAATCTATTGTCCATTATACTAGTTATCTTATGTGATCTACTAAAGGAAGAACAATCTATTGTCCATTATACTAGTTATCTTACCTTATGTGATCTACTAAAGGAAAAACAATCTATTGTCCATTATACTAGTTATCTTACCTTATGTG